TATATATTCTCCCAAAAATAGTACTCTGCAATATATTCTACCAAAATTTCTCTTTGTATTAGGTGTGGCGTGGGTTGGGTCGGATCAATTTTTTTCCACCCAAACTCAAACCAGCATGATTGGTTTGATTGAAAATTAACCTAAACCAACCAAATTATTGATTTAAACCCAACCCAACCCAAACCAAACCGATCAAGTTTGGGTCAGGTTGGGTTGGGTTGGTCGATTTGGACTTTGGCCCACTTGAAGTTGGATCCGATTTATTTGTTAAATTTAGATAATTTTTTAGAGTTGGAAATTACTTGAAAACCTCCATTTTTTAAACACATATATAATGAATTCTTTCTAAAAATAATGTATAAATAAATTTAAAATTTATGAAGCATTTTTTTAAATTTTTTTGGAATTCATTTATTTCGCTATCAATAAATTTAAAATTTATGAAGCATTTTTTTAAATTTTTTTGGAATTCATTTATTTCGCTATCAATAAATTTAAAATTTATGAAGCATTTTTTTAAAATATTTTGGAATTCATTTATTTCATCATCATGTCTTTAATTTTTACTTTATCGTCAAATAACATTGCATTTGTACATAGTGTTCATGTAAATTGATCTATGAGAAGGAAATAGACGTTTATAAATTATAAGTCATTCTCTTATCTTTACTATTGTGTCTTATTTAAATTTTTTTCCTATCTTATATATTAATTTTTTAATTCATCGAGTTGGGTTGGATTTTAATTCATAACCCGAGACCCAACCTAACCGAACCTCAAATTCAATTTTCCAACCCCGAATTGATTGATTTGGGTTGAATTATGCCCAGCCCTAGTAAGGGGTGTCAAACAAGGGCTAAATCTTCCTAACACCTAATTTCTGAAAATGTAAAGTTTTATATCTTATTTTTGAAATGTAAAATATATAGGTATGGATTTGCTTGATTTTCTAATACTAGTTTTTAACCCGTGCAATGCACGGGTTATGTTAGTTTGAAGGTAATGTTGGAGTAATTAATGTTAAGGGTTGACGAGAGATGTATGTGTTTTGTTGACCAACGGATAATTGGTATTAGGACTGCATCGAGTTCTTGAATTCTTTATCATCTTTGCAAAGACGAAGTTCTTGTTAGAAGTGTTTTGCTTTGAAAGAAAAGGATGCACGTGAAATAGAAATAAATCTGTTGTGTAGGTTATAAAAGAAATCATTGAAGACTACAACTGAAAGAAATTGTCTGTTCTTCATTAGTTTAGGAACTGACTTGATAATTAGGCAAAGAATTTCAATGTAATGAATTGAGATTTCATAGCATTTAAAATTCCAAATCATTTAGTTGCAATCATGTATGCCAACGACGGATATTGCCAATTTTGTTAACGTCCTTCAAAATATTGGCTGGTTTTGTTGATATCCAGGCATCAAGTTCAAATTTAGTGTTTGGTCTTTGTCCAAATAGCTGTAATATGGGGAAGGTGGCAAGAGCAAGAAGTAGGCTTCGTTTTCCAAGTGGTTGGCAACTGGAGTAGTGTTGGTGATGGAGGTTGACACATAGGTCTTGCAAGAAGCGGGCTAGATTGTGTGAGTTAACCACATTGTGTAGAGATTTTATTTGGAATTTAAAGAGTTATACTATAAAATACTTAGTCAACCTAGAACAGATTAGAAGCTCATTAAAAATGAGCAAGGCGCCTAAACTTATTTCAAAAGAGCTTATGTCTTACCCTCTAAGCTTTTTTTTTTTTTCCAAATAATAATAACAACCAACTGAAAGCCATTTGTAAGCATTTTTTAACCCTTCTCCCACCTCCCAAAAAAAGGATTCAGCCTATCATCCGTCTAGTAATCTGTGGAATTTAGGAAAATATTCCATATAAGACCAATTCATCTTCTCATGTAAGTCATCATTCCCCTTTAATGAAAGTACTGAAGAAATATAACAAGTAGCCTAAACATGATATAACACAAGTATAAACACGTCGGATGGTGTACAACATCAGATGGACTTGTTATTGAGCCTAAGTAAAGAAATGAAATTCAACTAACCAATACAAGTTCTCACCAAGCTGCAAATCATGATCATTAATAGCTGCTTCTGACATTTCAGCATCTCAAGTAGCAACAGCAGAGGAATAATCATCCGTAGACATTTGTAAGAGCCTGCAGTGTAAGATTACATTTTCATCATCCTAAAAACTAAGAAATTTTAGATGTTAGTTGTGTTCGACTGTCATCTCCGCTACCATACAAGCAAGCTTGAAATGTGAAAGTTCATAGAGCATCTGGTTGACCCCATTTGATAAAACTCATTTTTTCTCCAAACTCGTTTTCAATCACATATTTCATAACATCTATAACTTTCATTAACTTTTCAACCACACATTTCTATAATTTCTATCAAAATATACTAAAAAATCTAATTTTTATCCAAACCAAACAGGGGTAAAATAAAAATAGCAAACTACACCACCTAACAAAATGTAATAATAAGAATTGTTAATGTGTTATAGGCATAAAAAGGAAAACGTGTGAAACAAAACGTGTCCAACATGATATCAATTTTATTGAATCACGAAAAAGTTTTACTACCACACGCTATCGAAATCTCAAAGATTAACCTAAACACCAAATAAGCACCTAAGTATAACATCAAAATGATGATGTGCCGTACTCCAGAAATGGTTTCTACTGATGGTGTCCCAAGAACATCTGTAATAAAATGTGAACAACACTTTTACCCGAAAATAATGGCTTCCTTGTGAAGACATTTGGAAAATGTAGCCAATGTTTCTCCAAATATCGATCACAGGAGTATACTATAACCAATTTGAACACACATAAGACATTTACAAGAAGTCAAGAAAAAATTATTTGAACACAACAACAAAACCCTCTAGAAAAGTGACGTAAACCAACACAATTACCTCTGCAGAACAGAAATATCAACTTTCAGGAGAGTTCAATATCCTCTCTAAACAAGAATTACTTTAATCTAGGCATTACTGCTATCTAAAGCACTGAATGCATATTCTATATCGAAATAAACAAATAATTACATTAGTTTATTCAAACTAAAAAAAAACAAATTTAACGATTTTCAAAATAACATATGAAACCTTTACGCACTTATTTGAAAATATGTCAACTGGTAATCTTCTTACAAGGTAAAAAGCTATAGAAAATGGAGGGAGCGAAGCTCGCAGAACTTAAAGAGTTACGACGGAGTAGAGCCAAGAATGTATGTACGCAACTGAAATAGAATATTTGCCTAGATCCGACGAATGAGTGGAAATCATAGAATGATACAACCGCACTTTGATATTAAGCTTATGATTGAATATCACATACAAATTATAATTCCAAGAGGGGCCAAGTATGATCTCATCCTTTCAGGCCAAACAAAGTAGGCAATAAGAAACATGATCTAGCTAATGGCATGTTGAACCAGATGTGTGGGAATACGATGGCCAACAAACCACTCCTGATGGATGCATAAACTTTTACTGCAAGAAGAAGTATATTTGCAACATTTGATATATTGATGGCATACATTTCACTTTTAGCCAACTTATCCCTCTCTTCCCACACCTAAAAACCAAAAAATTAAAAAAATAATAATAAAGAAATAATAAAAAAATTACAAAAAAAAAGTATTTAACCTTGGTACCACCTTGTTTCCTCTTGATATTTGACAAAAGATTCCATCAACCTAATGAACAAAGAAAATCAAATTATGGTTGTAAAATATAAACCTTTGATATTCTCGATATAGAACCTTACTCTGCTAGGGCATCCATTTCATTGAACCCCTCCAGCATTTCTACCTGTTGCTGATAATAATAGATAACACTATCTTCAGCACCTGTACAACCTAGGCAAACAAATGAAATGCCTTATAAGCAGATTGTCGAACCTGTCAATAGGCATAAATCATACATGTTGACTTCAATCAAATTATAACAGAATTTTCACTAAATAATAGGAAAACATACTTAAAATTAAACCCAAAAATTATCAAAATTAAACACTAGAAGTAAACACAGAGGGCTCCCATAAATATAAATCAAGTGTATAGAAACATTAATTGTCCAAAGAACAATTGAGAAAACCCAAAGTGGAGCAAGTACATGTTAGTAATACTTTTAAGTTTTTTCTATAGCCTAGCATCCAAATTCAATACTTGCCAATCAATATTATTTTCTTAAAAAGCAATCCTGAAAGCAAGAAATACATTTAAGCTACTCAATAGTAATGAACGGAAATGCTCAAATTTTCTCAATAAAATAATGATTTAGCAAATGAATTGAAGGAAGAAATGACAACTTGTATATTAATATATGTAGTACTTGTTTTACAAGCAAATTTAATAATCCAGATGATTCAATATGAAGTTTTTAAGAAATAAGAACATATACTACACCACTGTCGTATAGAAAAGATCCATTTTATTGCTAAAAGAATTATTCCAATAACTAACTTCATTAGACGACCGATGGATGCCCCTTCAAAAAGTGCAGCCGCCATAAAAAGGGAAAGCCTTTTTTTTTTTCTGTTCATGATTGAGACAATCACAATAAATTAGAATCGATATGGTACCGTAAATTTGAAATCAAAAGAAAAGAACAACAAAAGGAATACCTCTTCATAAGGAGGAATAGAGAGTGGCCAAATGATGCTATCCATGTATCCAAGGGTTGTGGCAATAACTGCATTATTAAAAAGAAAAGAATCAAAATCAAAATCAATAGCACCAAAATTTTCAATTTTTTACCGCAATTTAACATAATTGAAGAATTGCAAAAACCAGCCAATCAATGAATATTCGAAAAGTCATGGTTTCTCTTGGCTATATGGTTCATCCGGGGGAGAGATCGGGAGAACTTATCCTGGAAGCGGAAGAACTGCTGAAACTACCGATTCATAAGTAGAAAGTTTCTCCGACTCTTTCCTAAACAAAAGGTGGAGTCCCAATTCATGGGGTTGGGAATCACAAAAGGGATGATGGGTAATAAAACAAAAAATAAGATTCTTAAAAGAAAAACCAATAATGAATTATGGGCAATGATTTTGTATCTTCCTTTTCTATCTACCTACTACTGTTTTCTTAAATTGAATACAAAATATTGGCCGAATGGAAACCCTAATCTTGAAGATCCCAAATGCACAAAAGTAATTGAATCCTTGAATAAATAACAATAATAAATGGAAATTTCAATCTTAACTCCTCTTGGAATTGAATTGTTTCGCTTGTGGAATTTGTGAAAATAAATTTACAAAAATTAATACAAGATTCAAGTAAACCTTTGCCTTTTTCTCAAAACACGGAAGAAGGAGAAGAATGTGACTGAAATCGGAAAATTGAGCAAAAAAGGTTGAAAATAAATTCTACAAGTTTTTATAAATCAATATTTATTTTCGAATTTCTTATGAAAAATGAAAATCATGGGTACCCATAAAAAGGTCACAATCATGACAAACCATTTCAGCTAAAACCCACCTAACAGAACTCAAAAACTGAAAACATTCATATCTAAGCATATCCAAAATCAAAAGAGAATCAAAGAAGAGAAAAGTACCTCAATTTGTATTCTCTCCAAATCTGGACTTGTGTAGGACCGAAAGTGAGATTGAAGAGTGGAAAACTTGGAGTAGAGTAAAGTTTCGAGACGGAATAAGAGGAGCCATAGTTGCTGCTTGCAGGTGATGGAGATGGGATGGGTTGGAGGCATGCGACGGAGCTGGGGTGGAAGAGAGGGATGCCAAATTTTTGTGGGAAGTGAAATCAGGGTTCGAGAGAGAGTTGTAGAAGTGATCCACTTTACTCGCTTCGCCTTTCTGTTAGGGAGATAATCATGAACAATAAATTTCATTGCACTCATATAAAAGAGGGAATCAGCCTGCACTGTTCATTTGTAAGTGCTTTATTTCAGACTTTAACTGAACATTTAGTGTTCACTAACTGGTCCAAATCAAATACCCAATGCCCAGCAACCTAAATCAAACACCCAGCAGCCCAAACAGTAATACATAACTCCAATTCACCCGACAGTCAAAATCAATTGCCAACAGTTAAAAAAACCAGATCGCTAACACGAAGAGGGGAGATTCAGCAACAACCTAAAGAGAAGGAATCTGACAGCCTAGAACACTATTCCGCTGCCAATAAAGTCACCTTCCACTGATTTTACTCATCTCAGCTCAGCTCCGCCTTTTCATTCTCCTCGCCTCAGCCTCTTGCTCTTGTCTCTCTCAGACTCAATACACAAGTTTTTCTTGTATTAATTCGAAGATTTGTTGATGCGGCAAGTGAGGAGAAACCATCAAGCAAACAGCTTGAGGAGGTTAGTGAGAATGAATTTCAGGGTTTGGGCAATAGATTTCTCATCATGTTGTTTAATGTTACATGTGGAAAAATCGCAGAATGAATTAAATGGGGAGCTACAACTGAACAAAATTTCGAATTGTGCATAGGTATGTGTCAATTCACTCCTGTTCATGTGTTTCCTTGTTGCTCCCACATAGGGACGGAGCCCAGTTAAGTCCACTGAACTTTTGGGCCCAATTCCATAGGCCCAAGTAACAACAACAACAACAATATTATTATTATTATTATTATTATAGTGGAAATTACATATTACCAGGTATTTAAACTTTCAAATTCAAAGTTCACGAGTGAAGTATATTTATACAAAAATCAGGTATTATTAATTCCCCCAATTCAACTAAAAACCCTATTCATTTCACCCAATTTTGAAACCCGATTCTCGTCTCTTTCTTCTCTCTTCTTGGTGACGCATTCAATCACTGCAAAGGCGATGAAGGAAATGCGTCGGTGTCGATGCCGGTGCCAGCGTGGAGTGGTGAAGCTGCTAGTTTGGGCTGTGTTTGATTCCCAATCTAGTTTCTGAACAGATTACCAAGGTTGAGACCTTTTAACATAGAAATCAACTTAAATGCATTCATGGCTGCTGGCTGCTGTTCCTTTTTTTCTGTCACGAGATATTCCTATAGTAAGCAATAGATGTGCAGTCCATTAAGTATTTTTCAACAAATTTTTTTGTTAATCTCAGATAGTCGATAATCAATAGTTTCATTTTCTCTGCGAATTCACCCCAGAATCTTTAAATATAGCTTTCACATAGTCCAAATTTGTATCTTCTTTCTCATCAAATACTGGTGGTTTATAGTCTTTCTTAAACTACTCATCCTTCAAAATTTCTAAGATTGTAATGTGTTGGACAAATGTATCAATCATGAAATGGAAAAAAAGCACAAGTTGTAACACAAAGAACACGATGCCAAGCTTCTCTTTTCTTCTTCCTACTGATTCTTTTTTTTTTTTAAATGGAAAAAGTTTGTGTACTAGATAACTTGCATCAGCCTGAAAAAAACTCAGTACGCTCACAGTCATAGGATTTGGATTCAGGTCACATTTTCTCTGTTATTTCATTGGTAGACATCTATAACCAACTATTTAGGCGTATGTGACCATTTGGCTGAATTGTGACCAAGAAACTGTGTCAATGTGAACCATAGATAAAATGTGATCTGTAATTTGAATTATTCGTGGCCTTGAAATAATTTTTGAAATAATTTGTGACTAACAAAATTTTTAATTTGTGACCAGTTAATGAATCTGTGAATCTGTGACCATTAATCGTGTAATTGTCACTTCATTATATTTATTTAATAAATATTTTAATTAATTAAATATATACCTGAATTTTAAATTTTCAAACTTTATACTTGATTTTTGAAATGGTGTAAAGATTACATTTGAAATATAAATTTTTCTCTTGTGTAATTTCCAATATTTTTATCTAACTCGCTTTCCGTGTCCAGCCCAAAGAAGCCCAATTCCCACGACCCATTTACTGACCCTGTGACCCATTCCCCTCAAATTCTTAGGGCCCGTTTGGTAGAGGTTTTGAGAATTGATTTTTTGACCGTTTGAAAAAAAATGGGGTCCACGTGTGAGAGAAGAAGTCAAAAATTATTGCTTGAATAGTAAAATAACGGTCAAAAAATCAATTTTTTGGGGCAAAAAATCCCGGGGCCTTAATTGAATGCTCATCGATTAATTCATTTCAACTCTTCGCGACTTCGTCCCTTCGCACTGCCCGTTCCCATCTCCGACTCTACGTCCTACCGGAGCCAGTCAAACTTGCTCCCATCTCCGACTCTAAGTTCTCCTCCGAGTCCCGACCTTCGTTGCAGACAAGCAGGCAACGCCTGATCATGACCGCAGCTCCGCCGGCCGCTCATTAACCTTCGAGGCAACCGCCAACCTGCGATTCTTCAACTTCCAACAATCGGCGGCAGCCAGCAAAAGAAGAAGTGAAGCTCCAATTTCTACCAGTGATTTTGAATTTTTTTATTTTTTGTTCTTTTGATTTGTGTAATAATATATTCCTTTTTTTGTTTTTGTTTTTAACATATGAAATTAGCACTTTGTTCTTCAATTGCTCGAAGTGGCACTTCCTACACATTGCTCTTCAATTGATTTTGGCACAGACTTCCAGTGGACCAGTTCATTGTTGCCTCTGGTTCTCTGCGAATCTGCGATTGTAAGTTGCTTACTTTGTCACTGGAATTTGGAAATAGTATATATTGCATTTTGAAGTTGTGAATTGCAATGGATTGATAGTAAATATTGCACTGTGATTGTGAATTGATTATGTGAAATTGTGAATTGCACTGGAAAAAATCCATGACCAAAACCTCGATATTCAGCGTCGAAAAAATTCTGCCTGCACTGAACAAAAATCCTGGCTCCACCCTTGCTCTCACAGAAGGTAACTCTGTTAATTGTCTAATTCCTTAATGAGCGTTATCTGTTTTCCTTGAAAACCGTTGCTTATCTCTGTGAAAGAGAAGAGCTACGTGACGAGAATGTATTCAATCAAATCAACGCGATAATCACTTAATTATAATGCTAATGGAAGCTGATTTTTCCTTTTCATAGCATTAAAGCCGTTTTAACAATTGGAAGCTTTTTCACTCCGAGGGTTTTCTGAGGTTGGGATATCTTGGAAAGTTGAAATAGGATCAGAAAGAGAGTTAATTTCTCTCCCAGATATCTCATGCTGGTTTTTAGTTTCAATTCACCTGTTAGTCATTAGGTAACCCCTCGCTATCACATAATTCCAGATGCATGCCTCCCATGTATTTCTTGTCCTGGCACTGCTTTTATCAAATTATACTGGGTGATCTAGTCATCAACCTAATCTACTACATTACAGTGAGTTGGTTACAAATTTTTCACCTTTTGCTTCAGCTAGTCTCTTTCTGGGTGTTAATGAAAACTTAAGTTGATGCCTTGTCAACCTAATCTACTGCATTACAGCGAGTTGTTTTATATTTTTATTATTGTTAAATCCATGACGTTGATTAAATTGTGCTTACATTGAACAATATTTCTGGCTCCGCCCCTGTATCCATTTCAAATTGATCTTTGTACTTTGGCTTAATTTATATTAACTAAAAAAAATTAATCCATAGGTGAACTGGAAAGATGCATGAATGAGGTTCATTGAAATGAGTTAACCGGTGAAATGGTATGACAGTATATGGAATTTTGAATCTTTGATGCCTTTGGAGTCTTGTTATTTTGCAAATTGGGAAAGAGGGGAAAGTGCCAATTTTTAAATGCTAGATTATTCATTTTTGTATTAGATGACCCAGGAACAAACATAGATAATTAGAGAAACTGCATTCTTTTTAAGTTGTGATGTACAGGGGGTCGTGATGAGTATGTTATTCATTTTTGTATTGTGATGATCTAAAGACAAACGTTAAATAATGGAAGAAATTGCATCCTTTTTCTTCGGAATTTGAAATTAAACTCTTGAACAAGCTTGTTTGGCTGTATTTAAAACTCTCTATGAAAAACTAGTTAATACTTGTCCAATATTTAAGTTTGGGAACGCAGTTAAACAATAAAGATTTCAGCCCTTGTATCCTTATTTCCTGGATCCGCCCGTCTGATACCATGTAAATAATGATTTAGGAATCATGGAGGACACTCAAGGAACAATTGCAATGAGAGATTATTGTGCTGATGAACTCCCTTTGGAATTGGGATTGGAGGAAGAAGAAGAAGATAATGATAATGATGATGATGGTGATGGTGAGAATAATGGTGCGTCCGAAGAGGAAGATGAACAAGAGTACGGATTCAGATTCCAAGGAGAGATGAACCCTCTAGCATTTGTAGAAGAACACGATGCTGCTGGACTCCAGCCTTATGAGCGTTTTGAACAAGTACAGTACCACTACGAGGCCTTGGCTGCTAAGAAGCACAATACTCCTGCCTCCCCTCATTACTACTCCCGGTATTATTAATTTATGATGATAAATTGAATTCGATTAGCTTTAGGTTCTGTGCTTTCTTTTGTTAATGTAATTCAAGCAGCTTCTCCATTTTCTTTGTTTTCTTACGTTACACACCGAGGTTATAATGAAAATTTTTCTATCTTTGTGAATTTGTGATTTTTTTTGCCCTTCTAATCCCAATTTCCCATCCTCTTCATTACCATCATAAAATGTTCATATTTAGCTGTCTGTTTACGAAAGGATAACAAAAACTAGCAAAAGATGTTCCGAGGCAATGGTTGACAAGTAGTTATCTATCTTTAGTCATTCCATGCTGCAATTCTATCCATCTACATACTTCTTCACACCCACAAGTGTTTTGGGCTCTTGCATAAAAAAATTGTAGATTCTTGAATATCTAGGCACTTTATTATCTTTGTGGCTTTAATTTGTCTGTGAAGTTCTCCTGGTTTCTTCTCCTAAGACAATCTATTTTTTCAATATTTTGGATGGGNGGGAAACAGTGAAACACCGGCGAAGAGGTTAAGGCAGGAGGAGATTCATGGAGCAAGTTTTGAGGAAATCATGGAGGCCATGAATTATGGAATGAGGAGAAAGTCGAAGAAGGTATGTATTTAGAAATTTTCTCTGTAGGTTTTTTCAAATGTAAATAGATACACCCAGTGTATACCTTCTTTGGAAGCCTAAATGTATAGATTTGGGATCTCTTCTCACAGAAGACTTCCAATGATGCTTGTAGTTTATCTGGTAATTAGTTTCTTGAGGGATTTTCAAGATAGTGCTTTTTAAGTAATGACCAAAGTTAAAGATGACCATCTCTTAAAATTTTCTTTTAAAGCACAGGGAATCGAATTGTTGACACAAAATGCAACTAGTCTTTTATTCTGTTCAACTCAGAAAATTTGGCCTTTCTTTGAAGTTATGTAGAGCTTTTCTCTTTGAGAACCATCCTTTTCCTTTTCGGCGTTTTGCTTCCTTTGGTTTCTCCATTTACTGATTCTTTTGATATTAATTCCACATTTTCTGGAGGAAGCCCAGAGAGTTCACTTTCATCATAATTGCCTATAAGGTCTTATTTGTTGCCTCTCATGTATTTTTTGATCAATGTTTTTTCTGTGATTCCTGTTACCGTTTTCTGAGAAACGTATAGTTTACTGTAGGTAATATTTGAATTGCACGTATACCTTTTTGTATCATGTGCAGACCAAGAAAAAGGGAAGGAGAAAAGGATCAAAGAAAAAAATTAACTCAGAATTAACTCGAAAACTTGGTGATGCCACTCTTCATTATGCACACGGCCGCTATGAGGAGGTATGCTACCGTGGCCGTCATATCTTAATTCAGCATCTGTATTGGTTTTTGCTTGATATTGTTTTCTGTCTGCCAATCCACAATCTTCTTACATTTTGAAGGCCTTCTCTTTATTGGTTAATTTTCCTCAAAATGCTATTCAGTGCCCATGCAGTTGTCGAATTGAGACTGCAGGAATAGCAATAATTTTTATTGAAAATAATTACTCTCAATTTTTTTGTAAGGTATGTAACTTTTTCAAAAATTTTCATAGTTGTACGAGTCCCGAATCGTTTCAGGCGGCAAGTTCTGTTGGATTTCACTCTATAGAGGTCTAAATGGAGAATGTTTCTCTATTGGTTTGCAGCTTGGTCCTGATATTCTGTTTTATAAAAGTGGGCTTTGTAACTGATTAACATGGTTTGACTTTGTATACTTATGCTGGAAACATTGCATATCTGGCTGTATACGGGATATATCTTTGTTGCCATCATTGCATCTTATATTTTTCGGTGTCACATTTTCATCCCCCCTCTCCCTTGCGAATTCTGGAAACAGTCAACTTACACACTTTAAATGTGACATCTCTGCCCGTCAGATTCTGTTGTTATACTTCTTCAAAATGATTGGCTATTCTGACTCATGCGCATTTTTTATCGTCCTTGAATGTTTTATGTTTTGAGTTTGTAGGCTATCAGTGATTTGAATGAAGTAATTCTTCTTGCCCCTAATTTATCTGATCCATACCATACACTTGGTCTTATTTACAATGAAATGGGTGATAAGAAGAGAGCTTTGAATTTCTATATGATTGCTGCACATCTGACCCCAAAGGATGCATCTCTCTGGAAACTCCTTGTTACCTGGTCAATGTAAGATTTCCTCAGGCAGTTTACCTCTCTTCTTTTTGATATGCTGATTGGCTTAATTTCTATTCCTTTTTCGGGATCCTTTTGTAAGAGATTAACATCTCTCACATTCTTTACCTACATTTTATTATTATTATTATTATTATTATTATTATTATTATTATTATTATTATTATTATTATTATTTTTATTTTTGTGTTTCAATGTTGTTGGTTTTGTTTGGCTCAATTCAACTTAATATAAAGTCTTATGTCATACTTGTATAGGGCTGGCAACATAGTCTTCTTTCTTCTGCTTTGCTCTGTTAAGTGCCATTTCCTATGTTACATGGGTGTTGGGGACAGCTTTAGGTTCATGTGTTGGGTTTGTCGATAACATTCATATGTTAAAAATACAAGCCATGTTATGCCAAGTGTTAAGCTTGACAGGGGTAGTTGGACCTCAACTAATTATCAATGTAACTAATGTCATTCCATAGTTAAACATAAAGGTTTAAATCGTATTTAGTATCATGTGATTTAGCTTAATTAAGAAGGCTAAAACTATATATATTTTCTTACATGCTGTTATGTGTTTGCGCCTAGTTCTATTTTCACCCTAGAATGGGCCTTGCCCTATGAGCTCTGGGGAAGGCTATTAAACCCAATGTGAAAAACGTAATGAGAACAAGGAACTCAGGATGGGTCTGACTAATGAAAGAAGAGCATGAAAATCCTGAAAGCTTCAATAGATTTAGATACCTACACAGCCAACCTGATTGCTAGGTGAGTAGTGTGAAATTTGCTGTCATAACTTTCATGCTAAGATGTTAGATATAAGCTTGGGATAAATGGGAGTTCACCAGAAGGTGATAGGGGCATATACATTCATTTGGAGAACCATACCCAGCATTAAAGTGCATAGATCCAATGCAGCATTAAAGCCATGCTGGGTAAGGTGTTGGACTAGTCATTATCGCTCTATCATCATTTCTCCCCATGCTTGTGCCAAATGTTACACCTAGTTTTCTTTTTTTCGGCAGTTCATCTCATTCTTATATTTTGGTCCGTCATACTTGTGCAATAGGGTTACATGTACCATAGCTTCATCCACATTGAGTAAATGGCACTTCTCCAATAGTACATGAGCTTGTGAAGCTTCTCTGATCATTGAAAATGATTTTGCCTTGAATGCTTCTGCATTTTGATTTGATTCAATGTGATATCTTATGCTGGTTGTGATGTAATTGTATATTTTCTCTCCTGCTCTCTTTAAATTTTCAGATCAATTAACTGAACTTACTATTGAATAATATAAAATGCAGAGAGCTAGATAATAAACGACAGGCAGATTATTGTTTGAGTAAAGCAATAACAGCAGATCCAGAAGATATTAATCTTCAGTTTCACCGTGCTTCAATCTATGTTGAGCTTGGAGAATATCACAAAGCTGCTGAATCATATGAGCAAATCTCACGCTTGTGTCCAGATAACATCGAAGTACTTAAGACTGCCACACAGGTCCATCTCCCTCCCTTTCTGGTACCTCCATCCCCATTCCCCAAAAGAAGTTATCTTTTACCATTCTTTGAGTGCATATTTGTTATTATTGTACATGCCCTTACATACTCTACATTAATATATAGTTGATTGGTGTTGGTGATTTTGTGTCTATCAATTTGATAGTATTGTGTTTGTTGTGGCATGCAATTCATGTGGGTTCTAATAGATCTTTACAGTGTTCGGAAGAGAGAGAACTTATTTGAGTTTCTTGATAAAGGATAAATGTGAAGATGTGTTCATTGAGGTTGTACGATGAGCATAAAATGGGCTAGCATGATGACTTGAACATAATCCACTTCTACCATCCTTTTCAAAGATTGCTGTTACTTATGAAGATTTCTTTAATTCTATATCTTTAACACTAGAGATTGTTTCTAGAGCTGATGCCTGTAGGAGAAGACCGTAATAGGACTACTACTTGTTGGTCCTCCTTATTTTGAGCAATGAGTAAAATCTGAAATGATGTCTTGGGTTTTTGCTACCTAGTCTTGAATTTAGAGTTCACAACGTGCAACTAATTAAAATTCGTTAACATTTTTTTTTTTTTTTT